TCATGCCCCAACAAAAGAAATCCAAATTCTTCCTTTTGGCCCTTACAACCTTCTTTTTCAAATCACATGAAATTACATGGATTTTCCACATCAAAAGGTAAAAGTAGTATGACCATAAATCCAGACAGAAGAATAAAACATATCACCCATAAATAGAAAATTAGAAAGTCACTAAATAATGCAACTATTAATATTAAGTTTGTCCTATGAGAAAGAAAACTTACAATAGGTTGAGAGATGCGTTCGCTAAGTTCACCAGATTTTGCTAACTGCATGAGAGCTACTTCAGCAGCTGACTGCTCTGCTGCCTTACGATTGAAAAATCCAGGTAAAGAATCATACCTAACATCATTAACTATTACTGTAGACCAAAAAGAAGGCTCGTGGGAAGGGCCTTCTTTTGTTGTCTCATAAACTGGGGTAGGGATTCCAACTTTCTGTGCATATTCTTGTAATCGACTCTTGAATACATAGCAATTTGAAACACCTAGCATGTGGTGAAAGAGATAAAACAATAATTACTAACTTTTTCTTTGAAATAAAAATATAACCATGTATAAAAGCTATGGCACCAAGGGGGTGCACCCATATGCAAAAAAGATTTACAACTTGGTAATACTGTCTATGACATGTCCAAAATCCTCTATCCAATACATATTATGACCTAAGAAAGAGAGCCAAAATAATAAAACCATCTATCCTTGATTTTAGACATCACTCTCCACCCCATCAAAAGCTCTTCTATTTCAGTCATTACTAACTAAAATCCACTTGCAATTAACATATAAAAAACACATGCTAGCACACTCATCCACTCTGAGGAGGAACCACAAAAATCAATATAGTAACAAGGATAACAAATAAATGAAAACACAGTAGGAATATTTCAGCTCAAAAGAAACTAAATTCCAGGAGTCAATATGTTGATTATTACGAAAACAGTAATATTGTTCACCAGAAAAACTTCTTCCAGATAGTAACTTATTCATTTCCCTTTAACAAAATCCACAAACATGGTTATTTGATTGCTGTTGAAGTAATAACATCATGGATTGAGTTGGAATAAAACTGATCTTTTCACACATTCCATGATTCATAAATGATTATACCAGGGAAATCTAAGTACATTTTATATTCATTTAAATCTATAGTTTTTGTAATAGTTTGGAGTTTATTATTAAGAACTAGTGGCATTGGGATTTTATTTATGCTTTAAATTTATACTAGTTTCTATTAGGATTTCTAATCATAACTAGGTTACAATTAAATTTGAGTTTATTCAGTTCATAACTTATATCATACTTACATTGAGCTATATTTTAGGAGAATTTTCTTAGTAGACTTGTATGATTGTGTGATACTATCAAACCTCGCCTTGCATGCAATACTTAATCCCAGTTTTGATGCTAGTTACTTTTCTAGTTACTTCCTACACATCAATCAAAATTCCCAATTCTTAGGTGTGGTATTAAGAAAACCTATGTGTAATATCTAACTTTAACCCCTAACCCTACCCCTAACCACGAAGATTAATCATAATTTGTCCTACGCCATTCCACAATAAGCTCCAAAATATTGAAACCAAGTTTTTGTAGAAAAAAAGCTACCGCTGCATACATATTGAAAAAAACAGTTAAAAACTGTCAAGCAATCACTTATTCTGAATCAAAAGACATAATTTTTTTTTAGTGTAATGAATCAAAAGACAGATTAAATTTCACTTCTAAGACATGTTCAATATAAACCCATCACCAATCTCAAAAGCTAAAACCCTACTCCTCCAAACCCACTACCAGCTAGACAGACAAAATGTGAAGTAAGGAAAATGGTCCAAAAACAGAAAAAGCCAAAGAAAAAGTTCTTGAAGCAGTGAGAGATATGACGAGATTAGCTCTCTTTTTTTTTTAGATAAAAGAGAGAATTTATGACGAGATAAGCTCACGGAGATATTTGGGAACAATAAAACTGTAAACCATTTTTGAGAAAATTAAAAAAAGAAATAACACATAGAATTAGAAATCCAAGCAATGCCAGATATAACGCAATAACCTGGAATAAATATTTTGGCAGAAGAAACTTTGTGATAGAAATACCTGAGAAGCCATTGTTGGTAGACATGCCTTGCTTGAGTACTTTCCGGTTTATCGACTTATCTAGCTAGAAGATAATTTATCTCCCTGATTTTTCAGAAGCACGAGACTTTCGTACGAGGAATGGAAGGTCTGTGTCTGTAACTGTTGAGTGTAGTCGAAAACCCTACTCTGGGCTTCCAAGGACCAAATGGGTTTTGTCAGGTTTTCTTTTTGCTTTTTTTCATGTGAAATGGGTAAATAATTTGTTTTTGTACATTGTAAATATTTTTATTTCGATTCCAATTTTTAATTTTAATATAAAACAATTAATATTTCTTGTCTGAAAAATTACTAATTTTGTCTCTTGGTGCCTTTGAACCATACATAAATCACTCGCTCTTGAGTTAGGAGACAAAAATTATGATGTAGAATATGTTAATACATAAATAAACTTGTTTTTTTTTTCTTATATCAGTTATATAATATGTAATTCACAATTGAGACAATTTTTATTGAATTAAATATTAAATTATTTCATGTACTAATTTTTTTAATTTTTTTTTTTGCCCATCTTCTTTTAAAAATATACATTAATATATATATTCCTTTAATATTATTAGTAGAATTATTTTTTAATCAATATTATATATAAATAATATTTTAATTTTTAATATAATAAAAAATTGTAAAAATAATAAATTTTTTAAATCAAACAAAATTGATGGATGATGGCGATTTCGATTAAATGTCAAACTTTTGTGCCGATGAAGGTAATTATATTTTAAGAGTGCTCTCGGCTAATTGAAGTTGTACATTTGAATTTCTCTGTACTAATTGAGATTGCACATTTGAATTTTTTTATAATATGTTTGGTATAAAACAGATTGAATACCAAAAATAAATATTAGAAGTAAGGAATATAGCAGAAGAAAAAGTAAAATGACATAGAGAAAACTAGTAAGGAATGTACCTTATGCATTTTACCATGTTATCTGTAACGCCCGGGAAATTGAAGAATGAAAAAAAAAAAGGAGGTCACGTCAGCAGACCCAGTTAGCAATCCCGACCAACCAGGACCTGCCACGTGGCAAAACCACGTCTACCGGGGACGGGCCACGTTGGCGATCCGCGTACGCGCGATCGGACGGCCCAGATTAAAACAAATGGACGGCTGAGATCAAAAGGCAAAAGGGTATAAATAGAACCCCACACCAGACCACAAAAATCCTAGCCACCTACCCTTGTCGGAGAAGACGAACCAGACACCGGAGACACTGGCTACTGCCACCCGCCGCCGCACCGGGGAGTTTTCCGACCGCCGATCGAGGTAAATTTCATACCCCCGACTCGTTTTTCCACGCTGATTTCTCATGTGGCCAAATCGGAGCCAAAATTCCGGCCAAACGGCCGAAACCCAGCGGCGCTGTCGCGTCCCTTCTCGGTTTTTACCTCCGATGAGGCCCTTCCCGGCCTCCGTTTGATGCAATTTTTATATCATCGTGATCACCATTCTTTTCTCTACAGGTTGATCGGAGCCGAATCACCAAAACACGAACTTCACCGGAGAGCCGCCGCACCCGAGAGCACCGCCGCCGGTAAGCTTCGGTTTTCCGTAATTTTTTTGCCCCCCGAGGGCCCTAAGGTTGTTTTATCGCAAGGATCGATGCAAGTGTGGCCGAATTCGGTCGAATACGGCCAAACCGGGGCGAATCCCCGCCGTGCCGGAATTGCGATATTGGCCAAAAAGGGGCTCTGGGCCTAATTTGGGATTTTTTGGAACACGTGCAGGTACCAGTAGTGCGTTTCAGTTCCCCGGAAAAAATTCAAGGAAAATTAGGGACAGCCTGTAGGCGCACTGTGAAGCCGTGTTCGGACCCCGAAACGAGTAAGGACCCCTCACCCTATTTCCTATCACGGTATTAAAGTTCAATAAATGATAAAACGGTATTTCATGAATCAACGAATGTGTGAAATTGCTTAAGGTCGCTAATGGAGCCCGAGTCTAGTGTGTTTGTCGGTTAACTGTTATTTGGCCTGTTTTACAATTTTAAATGCAGTATGAGGTTTGATGTTTTCATTTTATAGTTTTGTGTGCATATTTTACTGTTTTACTGATTATGGATTGAATGACTGGGATATTGATGCTGTATGTTGTCTGTTTGGCATAAATTACTGTTTGCTTGTTTGTATGTGGATTGATAATGCTGACTGAGGGAAAAAGAGAATGAAAGATTATGTAAATGGGTAATTGTATAATGTGGTCAGCCTGACTAGATATCCTAGGAGATGGTGGACGGACTGGATCCGTAGGGAACCCTACTGGAATTGTGGTCTCCCATACCGGACGGGGTATGGGGACGACCCGTTTCACCCTCATACCGGACGGGATAATGAGGTTTATAGTTTTGGCGCCCATACCGGACGAGGTATGGGGACGGCCCTGGAATCTGATTTCAAGTGTTAAGGGTTAACGGGTAGTGGGACCCCTATGGATCCCCATGGATACTAGTGGGCTGGTAAATGAGAAAAATATGTTGTGTAACGATTAAATTACAAAAGGTTTGATAAGTATTATGTTATACAGTTTATATATGATTTCATGATGATGATAATGTTATTGCTTTCGTACACTGTTTTATGAATTTTACCGAGATAAGTGGATGGTGAAGGATTTATTATTGATAAAAGAATTTGTTGTAAATTATGCTCCATTGGTCTTTTTGGTTTTCTACCTACCTTTACCTCCGTGACGGTGAGATATCGTGATGTCTTTACTAGGCTAGTGTAGCTCATTCCTTATTTAATCATTTCAGATCAGGAAGACATCGTTCCCGAGCCGGTTCCGCAGGAGGACGACGAAGGGGATGCCTAAAGACTCCATACTCATATTCGTAGCTTTTACTTTCAAGTTTCTCCTTTAGGTAGCTTGATCTTTTATATTTTGTGAGCACGTTTTTGGTTTTAGTGTAAGGGATGTTAATCGAATTTTTGATTTCGCTTCCGCATTTAATATTTTTAATATACATTTTATTTTAAATTTCTGGGGTCGCTACATTATCATTCAAAATAAATAAAAATAAAAATATATATATGGAAAACCTACAAAGGAAAACAACTATGTCAATTTAAATGAGTAATTTTTACTTTTTTTTTGTGCTAAAATTACTTAACCACAACATAAAAATAAATAATGTAATAGTGAAAATTAATGAAAATATGATCGAATATTTTATTTTATTTTATTTTATTTTTACAATATATATCATAAAAAAATTAGTTGAATGACATAATAAATGTTAGGAGAGAACAAATGTAGCTTATGGCGAGGACCAAATTACTGACTGATTAATTTATTTATTTTTGTTTAAATTAATATATTCATTTATATTTTTAGGAATAATTTAACAAAAATAAAAATTTCAGTTAGTAAATTATTATTTTAGCCTTCCATCCGGCACGTATGATATAAGGCACGTTTGCACGCGCTGATCTACAGGAACATCTGAAAGCTGGAAGCGAATGGCGGGGGGGAAGAGTTCCACGCACGCGCAGAGAGGTTCAGGAAAGCATCGAGAGAAGAAGGAAAATTGAATCAGCTTCCCGCCTTGGTCGCAAGGCTGCATCGTGACCTCTCGTGGATGATCAATTCGACGAAGAGAATGTACACCAAGGCACGGGACGAAGGTAAGCAGAGGAATGATTCTCGAAGAAGTTTTTAGTTTCGTTGCAATTGCGACTGCTTGACTTGCTGGAAGGGAGAGAAAGATCGTTTGGCGAGGGATTCCGGAGGGAAAAGAAGCGAGAATCAGAGGAAAGGCCGGCTTGTGGGAGTTGAGGGGTTTAAAAAAGGGTTCCTAGGGTTTCAAAAGGGACTGAGATTGAGGGAGTGAGGGAGAAAAAAAATAAGAAAGCAGAGACGGATTATAGGGGTGAGGCCAGATTGAAATAGATTGAGCAAGTAGAATTCGGTGGCAAAGGAGACTGAGATTAAGGAGGAGGAGGAGCTTGCATTGCGAAGGAAAATCAGGGGAGCCAGAACCGAAGGGCCAGGACGGAGATCCATAGCTACATACAACAGTTAGTTTGAGCTCAATATTTGGTGAGATTCTTGTGTAACCCTGATTTGAGAAAGTAGTTCCATCTAGCGGTTTGTTCTTTCTTCCCGTGCTGAAATGCTTAGGATTCATGTATATATATATTCGGTAAGACTGAAGACCGCAATTGATTTCGGTATGAAAAGAACTATTTGTAATCAGTTGTTTGATGAGTGATATAATGAGTATTTATTAATTGTTAAATCTCATGGGCTTGATTGGATAACTTTCCATGATTATGTGTTATTGTATTAAACCTTCACTTAGTGTTCTGGAGGAAGCTGGAAGGTTTGAATGAAAACACCTGTTTGAGTCTCTTGTCTGATCTTTCTTTCTGCTTTCTTTTCTAAATAATGATTTCTCCATGTTACTCTTGATGACTTTTTACCATTAAGCATTCATGGCACATTCGAGGCCATAAGTAGTTCTATGTTCATTATTTAGATTAGGTTTTCCTCTTTGATTTGTTGCTAAGGCCCTAAAATAACTAGTGATGGTCGGAGACCATATCAGTTTGTAGTTTTCCCTACCACCGGCACAGTTTGTGAGGTTCATTTGGTTTTCTGATGGGAAAGTTTGTTCAGTTGATTTTGCAATATTGACTGCTTCTAACATGTTTGATATTATGCCAAATCAATCTAGTATGAGTGTGTGCCTATATATATGTACACATATACTTTAACGAGCATATTTTGCCGCCCTACAGAATCATATTTGTTAGATTCAGCATTGAGGAGATAATTAATTATTTCACTATTATGCTTTATAAGCCATCAGGGTATTAAGCAGGTACTGAGTTGAGATGATTCCAGTAGGCAAACAGTTGCTGTGTTAAGTTGGCTATGAAATGCAATTTTGAGTATGTTAAGCTGTTTGGATATCTTTCATTTCTGCATATGATTTAATTGGTCTTGGGTGGGATCATTGATTTAGATGAGTTGATTCCCTAATATGGCTTTCTTTGATTACTTTTGGGGTTACTTCGTCTTTTATTTCTCATTTTCTCTCTGAATCTTCTGCCACGGTTACCTAACCCCATATTCTCCTAGTTTTACTTCTAGTTCATTTTTTCGTTTCTTACAATCTTGATTTTTTTTTGAATAAGGTCTGGTGTTAATTTTCATTTTTAATTCTTAAGAACTGTTAGGTCTGGTGAATCCAGTGAAAAACTTTTAAGCTTGTTAACGGTTTGTTAATGGGCAAGACATAAAAGGCAGTTTCTGTTAAACCTTTGTCAGAAAATTTTGTTTTATATGGAACATTTGCAGTGATGTTTATTTTTATCCCAAAAAAGATTTGCAGTGATGACTATTCAAAAGGGGTTTTGACCTAACGTTATGAAATTTCAGGAAAGGTCTCTCTATACTTACCTCTGCACTGTTTCCATAGTTGTATCTTATGGGTCATTGATTCCTTTCCCGTTTTGTTGTTTGAGTCTATACACAATTGCATATTCCTGACTCGGAAATAGCTGATACTGGATACACAGACGTACTCTGTTATAGTTTTGTTAACCCACATGTATTTGAATCTGGAAAGGTATAGTTTTAGGTTTTATGGCTTGTTCCGATATGTTATGGCTTTAATTTAGAGAATATAGTATATACACACATATATATGAGGAGAGCATCATTTGTGGTTGATTTGCTTGCTTGATTAGTTGGTTTACTACTTTCAGTGGTTCCTGGTATAATTATTTGATGTGAATGTGGAATATTCATTACTTTGACAATACAAAAATGCTAATTTTTTTGAGAGAAAAAGGACATTAGAATGCTCATTTTGCAGGTCTGAATAAGTTTTCTCAGAGGAGAAAAAGATAATTTTTTATGCTTCTATATGCCATAATTAATTTTTATCAATGTGTTCAGTGGATGTCATGCATTGGGTTAATTGACATATTTGCGGTTTGACCTTGCATTCTCAGTGTTCATGGAGGAATCAGAGAAAAGGAAGGAAAGACTCAAAGAATTAAGAGTGGATGCTGCACAGGCTGAAGTTTCTAAAAATGGTCAAATTTCTGCTATACCGGGTTTGCTTCCTAATCCATTGATTGATACCTCGACAACAATGCAAGCACAATCATCTCCAGCTCCAAGGTTTGATTTTTACACAGACCCTATGTCAGCCTTTTCTGCTAACAGAAAAAAGAGCAAGGTTGAAAATCAGTTTCAGCAAAATTGTTTCTCATCTCCTGGGTATAATAGTGGGTCTCCCAGTGCACAGATCCTGTCATCTATTTCTGGTATTCTTCCCCCTCAAAATGTCCTGTTACTTCCGTTAGCAGTCAATTAAACTTTCTATTGATATGAATTGGCTTGTGAAATAATGCATTGTTCTTGTTTATTTGGTTTTCCCAGCTTATAAATTGGATGAATTGGGAAATGCAAATAAACCATGATTAGGCCGGAGTGAAAAACAAAAAAAGAGTACAATGTACTATGGTTGATTCAGGCTAAAGTAGGCTCTAATATCTCATAAATTATAATAGTTACCAGGATATATCTGCACTTATCATTTTTATGCAAAATGTTTGGAAACTTTCGTGTGCCAGAATATATCCTTGTTGGTGATTGTAATGTCAACTTTTGAATGTCCTTGAGCTGCCCTTGCCTTTAAATAGATGGTCATTACATTCTCATTAACAGGACCTAGGAGTGATGAGTTGACTCCCTCTCGTCCTCAACAGATGCAAAGAGAAGAGGGAATGTACCAAGGACAAGGGATTTATGGTGGTACTCCCCTTATGGGCCCAAGAGGAGTGTCAAGCTCTTCACCTTTGCCGCACCAAAGGACCTCCCCTGTGCCTTGGAATGGTTCTGGCAGTTCAACTGGCTATTATACTCATGTACAGCAGAATTACCCGAGAGGAACATCCAGTCCTTTTCCTCTGCATCAGGAAACTCCCGAGTCCTGGAAGAGAGCTGTAGGCAGAGGTAACCGCAATTTCCCATCTAATCTTGTTCACGTTCCACCTTGCAGTCCAGTTTTCCATCGCGGCCAGGGCAGGGCTCACTGGTTCGGTAGAAGCCAAAGTCCTGGTTCAGGACGCGGAGCTAGTCCTGGTGGTGGTTCAGGACGCGGCAGGAGCTCCTGGTATGGTGGCAGTGCAAGCCATGGTTCTGTACGGAGTGGCAGAAGACTGCAAAGTCCTCATTCTCGTAACTTATCTGAAGGTGACATGCTGGGGCCAGAATGTTTTTACGACAAGTCCATGGAAGAAGACCCATGGTTGAATTTGAAACCTGTTATATGGAGGGGTTTAGATATTCCAGAAAGCTGTTCAAATACCCTTGGCTCTTCCAATTCTTGGCTTCCAAAGTCCATCAGTACGAATAAACCCAGAGTTGCAGAATCTTCCAAGAAGTTCAACTCTCAGCAAAGCCTTGCAGAATACCTTGCTGCTTCATTCAATGAAGCTGTAAAGGATTTGCCTAACGAGTGACCAAGAAGTTATTTTGTTATAGCAGGTACATATTTGATATTGTATCAACTTCCATTATTACTGAAAGAGAGAACTAAAATGACCAAGTAAAATTAAACCAATGATGCAACTACTTACATTTTCCTTCAGAATTGCTCTCTGGATGCATCAATGCAATTCGAGGAGATCTAGATGCACACAAACCGGAAAGCTCTCAACCTGAAGCAAGTTTGAAGTACTATGATTAGTTTTGCTAGGATTAAGTTGATGGATCTTATTTTGAAGGGTATTATAATGTTTGTTGAGATAATTTTATTAGAAAATATTATATTATTTTTGAAAATTTCTTACACGTTTAGTTTTTTGGATTTTTGTCTTTCTCCCTCTTTTTTAATTTTTTTAAGATTATATTTTCAATATCTAAATGTTTTTTTCCCCCTTGTTTTGTTAACCAGTTCAAGAACTGGAAGAAAGAAAAAGGTAAAGAAAAAAAAAAGGGAGAGTTTAACATGGTTCCTAGAAAATAGATCGAAATGGTATAATGCCTTTTATTTCAAAAAAAAAAAGGAATTCAGCCTTTAAAACAAAAATAATAATGTATTTATTTTTTTGATTCTCTCTCTTGGAGCCCCGTGGACACTTTCGTAGCGTGTTTCCCTAATAAACAAACCCTCACGAGGGGTCCCCAAAACAGGGCGGTTAAAAGGTGGTGGGAAAGAAGTGGACAAGTGTTAACGCCAAGCTTGCTTTTTCCAGAAACCTTACTTGTCAACGCCCGAGCGGGTCTGCTACCCGAACATGTTGCCATCTTTTTGCAATAATAAATTAATAATTGCTATGGAAAATAATAAATGTCATTTTCTGGTACAAAAAACTCTAGAGATATCCATTAATAATAATAAAATTGATAACGTATGAATTTTTTTAAATTATTAGAAGTGCTGTCTTAATTATTATTTGATATCATTATTTCATTTATAACTTTTCATTTTTTATAAATAAATTATGAAAAAAATATATAGTAAATTAACTATTAATTAAATATAACATAGATATACGGATTTTTATTAATAATGATAAATTTACTCTATAATTTTCAGTGATTATTTTAATTTTTAGTACTCAAAAGTTGCACGAATTATTTTGACAAATGAACTTTTCATTATTTGTGGGGCCCAATTAACACACCTTCCCTACCACAAGCACGGCGCGCACGACCTGTCTTTCTCTGCTCTCTCTCTCTTTCGTCCACCCGGACCAACCCCCCATCTTCTAGGCCTCTTGCCCCACCTACAGCCAGAGCGATCACGCTTGTATCATTATAGAGGGAGAAAGCTTGAGCTTAATCTGTAGTTAAGCTCTTGCTTGAGCCTTGAAATTGGATTATTTTCATTATTTTCAGGGGCAACGTGCTCTTAATTGGTCGAGAAGATGAGCGGTTCCGGTTCGGATTTGGTTCGGTCCGTGGAGTCGTTGTTTGGAGTGTCTCTGAGTAGCTCAATGTCGGACACGATGATGCTGATAGCGACGACGGCGTTGGCACTGGTGGTGGGATTGATGGTGTTTTTGTGGAGGAAAACGTCGTCGGATCGGGGTAGAGAGGTGAAGCCCATGGTGCCGCCCAAGTCTCTGATGGCCAAGGATGAGGACGACGAGGTTGATATCGGTCCCGGGAAGACCAAAGTCACTATTTTCTTTGGCACGCAAACCGGAACTGCCGAGGGATTCGCTAAGGTAACAAATAAATCACACTGCAGATCTCCATTTTTATGTTGTGCGGGATGTTCTGTTTTGTTTGGAGTTTGCCGAGGTATTCCCTGATGAAGTTGCAACTTACAAGTGCTTCGGGTTTGG